CGTAAGCCTTAGCCTGACCTCAGTTTTAGGCATGTATTTTCACAGTGAAGTAAATCAAATAGTGCTTATCTTCTGTGCTGCTTCATGGTATGCTTTCTCCACAGGTATGAGCTGGCTTTAAAGCAAAGAAATCAGATGCTTCTGCCAGTGCAAGTAGATCAAAGGGCTTTATCAGCTTTTTACTGCCCCAAGGATTGGTAGAGGTGCAAGTTTCTCCACAGACTGTTATGGCTTGGTGGGCTGAGTAATCTCTGTATCAATTCCCACTCTGTAGGCAAATTTCTAAACAAGAACAAAAAAGATTTTGTAAAGGAAAAATGAAATATTCTGTGACTGCAGTATCATAGGGATTAGGTTTTGTATAACTTGTTTTACTCAAGATATTATACTTGCTTTGGGTTTGAGTTTTTTGTAATTGGTGGCAGTGGTCTTTGGTTGTTGGAGTTGTTTTGTCTGGAACAGTGACAAGTGTGATACTTAACTGTAGGTATTTTTGATCAATATAGCACACCATTGAGACAAAAAAGTCAGTAGTTGTTAAGATTAACAATGAAAGAAAGACAAAAGCATACAAAAATTTAGCAGAAGACCTTAAAATCATATGTGGTTCTGGGGCTTCCTTAACCAGATTTCAGTTTCTGTAGTAACCTCACAGTATTCCTTCTCTTTGGCTGTCCCCCAAGACATCCATCACGTTCTAGAAACCACAGTATCCTGAGGAATGGATTTCCACAGCAGACCATTGCATTGGCTTCAAACCTGCCCCATCCAGTTTCACTTGATGGCCCATTTTTCCCTTGGTGCAGAACACAGAGTGAGCAGTAGATGTCTACTGGCTATTTCTATGATTTTACAGATCTCTATTTGACCCTCCTCTTGTTCTTCCAAGTGCAAGAATTCTGGTATCTGAGATATCTGGTTTTTAGCAATAGGAAGATGGCACTGACCAACTTTAGTGTTAAGAATTTCATCCTTTCCAAAATCTAGTTTCTTGGAAATAAATGTATGGCTTAGATGTTGCACATCCATGTATGAAGGCCTAAATACAAATCTCATTTTTCCATGATATGAGTCACCTTGCTGTTTGACTTATGTTCTTCACCCATACTGAAGTCTGAGTGGGAAAAAAGAAAAAAAGAGCTTTAACTTTCCCATTTTCCTTGTAATTTAGTGAAGGGAGAGATGCAAAGATTAAATCCTGTTTTGCTTATTAATATCTCAAATATTAAGAGTGCTCTGAGACTGCCTCCCAAATGATACTCTACTGTTTTGGAAGGGTAACTATCTGTGATGACTATCTGTATTCTTACAAAAGTAGCACTGATAGATACATCTCAGAAAGACAAAAAGGTTTTTCTTGAAACATGCCAAAATCACAGTAAAACTGGTTCCAGTCTTTTCCACCTCTCTTCAATCCAGTTTCTGGAGTAAACTTTTTTGTTTAAAGCAAATACTTTATTTTCTTGGTGCCAGGACCCTTAGAAATTTTTGTTAGCAGGAATACTTGGAAAAAAGTTATCTGCAAGTAGATGAACAAAGTAATGAGGAACATTTATTGGCTGACTCATAGAAAAATGCCTTAACAAATGCTCAAGTGAAGGATGTGCTTCAAATCTCATGTTTTCCGTAAAGTACCAATTCAGAAGACTGTTCAAGTAGAGAATGTCATGATGTCTAAAATCCATGACATCATAGTTTTGGTAGGATTTTTGTCATCCAGGCCAGTCTTCTACTTTTCTAGAACCTGCTTACACATATAGTCCCAACCTTCACCTACTGGGATAAACTTAAATGGAGTGTGATATAGTGACCTGGAGGTGGAATGTCATGATAGCTGATTCACACAATCTTTAGGAAAAAAAACACCCCATACTTTTGTTATCATATTCCTCAGCCATAGCTTGTACAAAATCAAAGGATAAAGGCATACACACTCAGGCTGTCTGAATGCCAGTGAAATGGAAATGTGAGCAATATTCCAATTTAACTCCACAGAAATCCACTAGTTAGTAAGTAGTTCAAGTATTTTAGTGCCTGCTGTGTTGCTGCCTACAGGGAAAATACTCTAAGTGCTTTCCCTTTCTCAAAAAGAAAAGGAGTTTTCATCTATCTTTTATAAGGCTTTCTTGTCACATCCATTATACAGCATGACACAACCAGCCAAAGGACGTATTGTGGTGGTTTCCATCAGATGTGTTAGTGACAAGGCTTTTGTGGATGGTAGAATACTTACATATGGACATGTGTGTACATATGTGTGTGTGTGTGTGTGTATACACATTTTTATATAAACATATATATATATATATATATATATATGCATATAACAATCTAGGTCACTTAACAGTGAAGATGTATGTACCTTATGCTTGCCTATGGACTGTCAGGTGTGGGGTGTTAATGTGTACATATATGAAATCCAATATTTTTTCATCTGGTTAACTTGACTCAAAAGGGCAGAATTATCTTTATTCCAAGAATATTGGGTCATTTACTGGAACAGCTTTTAGAACTACTTTATTGTGATCTGTGGCTCACCAGCTATTTGAGCAAAAAAACAAATTCTGTTTTTCAGACTCCATGTATGCTGTTAATATTACAGAATGAAAAAAAAAGGCAAGATATGTCCCTGAATAATATTGGGGTTTTAACCCCTGAACCATCTAATACCCTAATCATTTTAAAAAAAAATGTAAAGGGCTAATGAAGATTGGAGAATAGGGAGGATAGGAGTGATGATCCACAGATTACAGTTCCATATGAGAAGGATTTTTTGAAGCTGCATACGAATTCTGTATGCCTGTATGTGCATAAATGCAAACTGTCTTTTGTGTGTGGAGACCAGTGAGGTGTAAAGTTGGGCACTGTTTGTGACATTTTACTTACTAAAAATGCTGGCTTTCCTCCTCTAAAAACTTCAGCAGGCCTGTAGGAGCAAGAAGAGGGCCAACAGGATTATTAGAGGGATGGAGCACCTCTCCTAGGAGAAAAGGCTGAGGGAATTGGCATTGCTCAGCCCAGAAAAGAGGAAGCTTCACGGTGACCTAATTGCAGCCTACCAGCACATGAAGGGACCCTACAAGAAACACAGAGAGGGACTTTTGACCCTCTGACCTAAGAGCATGTAGCGACAGGACAAGGGGAAATGGCTTCAAACCTAAAAAGAGTAGCTTTAGATTAGATGTTAGGAAGAAATTTTTTACTGTGAGAGGTTGTCTTGAAGTTCTGGATGTCACATCCCTGGGAATGTTCTAGGTCAGGCTGGATGGGGCTCTGAGCTACCTGGTCTGGTGCAAAGTGACCCTGCCCTAGGCAGGTTGGTTGGAACAAGATGGTCTTTAAGGTCCCCTCTAACCCAGACCATTCCATGATTTCTAGGATTCTATTCTTTGAGGATGTATTTGTTCAGCAGTAGTTTTACATATTTCGGACAATGGGGACTGTGTGTAAATGTAGATATACATGAATAATCATCATCTAAGAGTGTGCAAAACATTACAGAACTGCTTGGCATAGGCAACATTTAGCTACTTTGCTTCTTCTGGATCCATCACTCTAGCCTTTCTGTCATCATTCTGATACCTAACTCTTCAGCAGAAGTGCTCCATGAAGTTTTCTACCTCCGTGTTTTGGGTTTTTTTTTAAGTGAGCTTGACATTAACTAAGTTTTTTTTTCCATGTTTCCTGATCTTCTTTGTAATTGTAATGTTTTCACTCAGAATGCCTTGTTTGATGTGCAACATAAGGATGATTAATTTCTGCATAGGCAGAATCTTATCATATACTCTTTGAGGACGAGGCATGAAGGTTTGAAATCACTGGAAAGCAGGGAATTTCCAGAGCATAAGTAGGGCACCTAGAAATAAGTAAGAAAAACTATTTTGTGGATTTAAGGAATCCCTGAATGTCTTCAAACCCAACCTTACATCTACTGAAATGTTTAAATAACAAATAAAATGGTTTTGCAGATAAGAAATAAAAATCATTGTTCCCATAAAAAAGAGGCTGACTGCCTTCATTTATTACTCAGTATTTCTGTCTTGGCTACAAAATCTAAAACAAGAAAAGACCTTCAGGAGAGGAAACCTGGTCCATGATGAGGTTGGATGGATGAGGAGAAATGCTCCCCAGAAGGTGCAGAAGACTGGCAAAGGCAAACTCTTTACCTTCTTAAGAGGAAGGTGTTGCAGGGGAAAGCAGGCCATTTTCTTGAAACACTTGAGAGAGTCTGCTGCCTGCTGAAGGGAGCAGCCTGGGCACAGGCAAGGGGCATTGAATGGGACTGTAACAACTCAGCTGTGGAAAGGACTGTACTGTCCTTAGCACCACTTGGTCACTCCAGCTTCAGGGACCTGGTAAGGACCAGCTGCTGGCATGTGCTGGTGACGTGAATGCTAAACACAGCCAGCTGGAGGTAACCAATCCCATTTACTTTTTATACAAATCCTATGCAATCTGGCTGAAACATCTTCCCTCCATTGAGCCCAGGGAAAGCCTTACCACCAGCCCTGCTGGGGAAGAATGAGGTCTGCAGACTGCTCTCTTCCTCCATAATGCCAGCCCCTGCTTTTATGACACCTTGCTGTCACACAATTGCACCACACTATCTGTGGTTTTGGCCCCAGCATCTCAGATGCAAAATCTCATCTTTGTCCCTTTAACTTCTCTCTCAGCTGTTATGCCTGTTTTCTCCCCTCCTCTGGGACTGTGCACTCTGTTGCTGCTCTGGCTGCTGGGAGCAAGCAAGGAGAATTTCTCCTACTGGCAAGTAGCTAGCCAGTCTGGGGCTTCATCTTCCCAGAACACCGCTGTTTGCATAGCAGCAGGCAGAGGAGCAGGTGAAATGGGTCTGGTGACATCTGTACAGATGTGTTTGACTGCTTACATGCTGTTACGAATCTGCTACCCTTAAAGCTTCCGTTTCTCTGACGAGATCTCTCTCTCTCTTCCCCCCTCTCTCCCTCTCTCTCTCTCTCTTTCTCTCAAAATTATTTTCCAAGGAGAAAAGGAAAAGGCAGACAGAAATAGAAGGCAAGAGACAACAGCTTGAGGACCAGATACTTCAGCTGCAGCATTTCAAGGTAAGGGACTGATGCCAGAAATGATGGATTGACTAAATCTGTTGATTATTAGACATGCAGATCACACGTCTGAAAGCTGGGAAAAGCCCACTCTGACATGAAGCAGCTTTCACTGCCGGAGCCTGTCTCTTGCAGTGATCATGTCCTGCCTGCTTTTCATTCCATGTATTTCATGCACAGGACCATGTTGTTTAAACGGTTTAGGAGCGTGGAGTCGGGAGGGTGTGTGTGCAGGCAGGACAGCAGTGCTGTTATTATTAAATGCTGTTATTTATTATACATAATGATAAGACACCAATTGCTGTGGCTTGGGTGTGCACTGCATGGCTTCAGCCAGCACTTTCTGCCTGCAGAGCTGCGTTGGATTTCTCTGGTGCCTGTCATTAGGTTTTCTCTGTGTGTGTTGCAGACACATGCATCTGTGTATGTACGATTTCATTGCAGGATGAAGTTATTAGGCATGCATGGCATTATAAAATGGGCATGTATGTACATGCAGGGAAGGTGTTGTTACATTATGTGTGTGTCTACATGGAGAGGCGCCTTGATATTTAACAGGGTGCCAAGCAATCCCAGTCCCTGTTGGTCTCCATGACAGCTGCAGATAGTATCATTTGAAAGCCATCCTTGCTGTTTCTATTGCTTATCCCTCCTGTCAGTAGCATATTTGTGCATAGCAAAGATAAGAACAGAAACATACATGTGATCTTTCTGTAACCAGCGTCAGTGGGTCAGATTTTGTTATATTAGTTCAGTAGGGGAGCCTGAGGAATTTCAGTGATTAAAATATCAGAGAAAGATGATTAGAACTGGAGAGTTTATCCTCACAGTAAGTGAGCTGAGCTGTGGTTTTAAAGTATTTAGGTTGCTTGTGGAATAAGTGTGTGTGTGTGTGTGTGTTTGTGTGTGTGCTTGAACAGTGCATCTGCATCGGGCGATGATGTGCAGAATATCTCTCCCAGACATGCACTTGTAAGATCACACTGCAAGTTGTGCTACAGGCAAGATCCTTCTCCTGCCTCTCCAAGACCCTGTAGTCAAATTCTGAAAATTATTCTTCCTTTCCTGGTAAACACAATGCAGTTAAGCCCAAATAATTTATATCAGCCTACACAAGTTCCCCAATCAAGTTTACCACCAGTCTGTGGATATCAAATATTGGTGTTTCCAGTCAAAGATGGGATTACATTTCTGTGGGGCAACAGGAATTGCCATTTTGTTCAGGTTTCCATTGAGTACAGGCAGGGGAGAATTTCTTCTGATAACTACAGGGTACTGCAGCAGAGCAGTTAGGTACTGTTCCAGTATCTTCATGATGCTTGTTTTTTTCCTTTTTGCTACCAAGCAGATGACTCCTTTTAGCATGTTAACTGTTTCCAAGCCAACTGCATTATGATTCTTTGTGAAATTCTTTAAGCAGAGCCTTTTGGATAGACAGTTCTCTCAATTTTCTGCTTCATCTGTTTTACTTTGATATGGCTGTTGCTGAAACGTATTTTATTCTCATCCATAGGAAAGTAAAACCCCTCAAGGTGGTGCAGTGGGATCAGCCCCTCACTAATGTAGACTGGCATTGACCTCAGCCCTGCTATGTTGATTGCCACTAGCAGAGGTTCAGTTTTGCTGCATGGATTTTTTTCAGAGACACATGTGAAAAATAGCTGTGTCCCTTTATTTTTTAACCCACAGGATGGAGCATACAGGAAGCTAATGGGAGATCAGGGCACAGAAATTTAATGGCAGAGACATTTAAAATGGCAGCTTTCTCAGCTAAAATCACAGCCAGACTTAAGGTCTGTAATGCTGTGTGCGAGGATGAGCATCAGGATATGATAAAAATCTTCCCTACCTCTCCATTCAGTGTCATCACTTGTCACCAGAGAATTTTGCTGTTTTTACAGGAGTGGTCAGGGTGACTGCTGCTTTATGAGCTGTCTGTACCACCAAGCAACTGTTTGCTGGGAGACCTGAATGAGGTCATAGCAGAGGTCTAACTGGGATTGCATAGCTCATCCTCATTGCTGCTAGAACCTTCCTAAAATTAAAATAATAAAAATGTTTAAAAACGGAGATTGAGGCACTGGCTCGTGGTGTTTTGGTTTCTCTTTGGAGACAGATGAAGAAAGCTGCATTTTTGTTTCATTTATCATTCATTGTTCTTGTTGCTTAGTGAAGTGCTGACCAACATTTTATTTCTCCTGCCAGTTTTCGCTCATTTACAAAATTGTGTATCCGCCTGCCACCTCTCCAGTGCTCTCCCTCATCTCACCTTGCTTGTCCTGAGCCTCTCCAAGTCAGAGCCTCCAAGCCTAGTATGAATATAGTTACTCAGCCTGATATGGCTCCCCAGTCTGACACACCAGACCAAAATAAGTGCATCTATTTTCTCTAAGAGTGCTAAGTCAAACATGATTAATTTCCTGAATTATGTGGATTTCATTTAATTCTGTGCAAGGCATACATCCAGGTTAAAAGACCAGGGTTTCCTAGGAAGCCTCTGTATTTATTCAAAATGCTGTGAGGCTGTTGATGTCCATATAAAGTGTAAGGATTTCATATCAGCATTTATTAAAATCTGCTGTGAAGAAACCTCTGAAAATGAAATCTGGGTTAATCCCCTGTCTGCAGTATCTGGGTTGATCCCACAAGCATAACAGCTTGAATTCACACAAAGACATTCATGCCAGTATTCAATGGGTTTGCTTCATTTTTGTGCAATGTCAGAGTAATTTTCTTTTTAAAATGCACTGTGTAAAATAGCATGTTTGGTTACCTAATAAAGGTTCTGGAAGCTACAGGGTTTCTGTTAATTTCAGAAAGTTTTATTCACATTGGAAAAATATCTAATAGAAATAATTTATTGCAAATGTTTATGCTGATTGCCTACAGTTTTCAAGTTGCTGATGCCAATTAGATCCCTAACAAAATTACTTTGCTACCAGTTCATTCATTTTTCCCTTGTAACATATCTGGCTGAAAATAACGTGGCAGCAGGTGCTGTCCCACTGCTTTAAGCAGAGCAACCCAGCAAACACTAGACCTAGTAAAAGTAAAAGTCAGCACTGAATGTGAACAAGGCATTGGCAACACATTTTACAAAGGCTCCTGAGAATGAGGTCAGTGATGAGGACATCAGAATAAAAGTGTAGCTTGGCTATTAATGGTCTAGGTGAGATTCAGAGTTAATCAAGTGAAACCCTTCAATTGTGAAAATCTGGAGTAGGAGAGAGTCCAGAGTAGTATAGGCTCTAAAAGCTGAACTCCCTTTTACTGACAGTGAAACTGTATCTTCTCTTCTGTGAATCAAAGCAAAGTAAGGACAAATGTGGCCACAGACTGACTAGTATCTTGGGACCATTGGGGTTCTCTGTTGAAGGCAGGAAGTGTATTTGTCTACATTACAATCAGATGCCTTCACTGGAAAGGCCCTAGGTGTTGGAACAGGTATAAAGATGCTTTGAAGTCTCATTTTTTTTGAGATTGAACATGCTCTTTTGCTCTAATAAGAGGGAATTTACAGCAGCTCCCCTAACCTCACACCTACTCCAGTCCTTTATATGAAAATAATACTTCTTCTTCTTCCATATAACACAAGGTCAACTTTGTTGTTTAACATAAGATGGAGTTGTAATTTTCTTGTTGTTGATTAACCATAGATAAAGTTTAAACTTCATGTCTCAGCAGTTTCTTGGCCATATGCCTATAAATGGGGCTTCCTCCTCCATGGGAAATGGAGGTGTTACCACTTCTATCGTTTGAAATCAGAGAAGTGGTCAAAATTCACCTTATACCAAACATACTTTGTGCAGTATCCATGAACATTATTTGGTTTCTGGAGAAAGACTGAAATTTATTTTGATTGACTAGTATAACTGGAGAATACAACCTACAAGCAACAACTTCTTTTAAGAGCTTGGTTCAGCTAGGCAGCAGTGGGCAGGCCTGTTTGAACAGAGATGTTTACTATTTCAAATAAACTCCAGGGCAGCAGTTTTTCTTCCAAAATCTGCCTCTGTAGTTAGTCAAATAGAATTTCTATAATTGTTTTCTCTAGCTCTGTTTGGTGGCCAATGGTAACAAAATAAATGGAACAAAAACTCCTAATTGAATGAAAAATTATTTCTTTGCTGTTACTTTAACTATTACAATTACAATAAATCCATTTTCCACAGTTATATTAGTCCTGGAGTGGTATAAATATTAGGGACTTATTTATTTTAGCATCTGCTTCTTAAAGACTGCAGTTCATGAGCACAATCTGTACCATAATTACATCTTTACTCTTAAGAAAAGGAAAGCCTTTTTACATTGTTATAGAGATTTTGTTAGGATATAGTTTTAGCTAAAATTGTATCATCTATAAATAATTTTAATTGTATATTCCAGTTATATCACTGTCCCAAATTTAATCTATTCTTAAAATAATTGCTGTCAGAAAATATAAGTAGATATGTCTGTCTATCTCTCAATATATATACAACATTGTGAAAAAAAAGGAAATAACTTTTGCAAATGAAGGAGGCTTGTTATTTCTTTATAGTGAATCCCTTTATGATTTTCAAGTAAATTAATCCTTAAACCAACTGGAAACTCAGCCAAGCACACAAAAAATGTTTGATGGTGTCATACCATTTCCTACACAGTCAGGGCAATATTCTCCAAAACCTAGTTCAGAGGTAAGGATGTCATGTAGAACAGTGTTAAATGCCTTGCACAAGCCCAGGAAGACGACATTTGTTGCTCTTCCCTTATCCACCAATGATTTATGTCTCTGTCATAGAAGGCCACCAAATCTGTCAGGCATAATTTGCCCTTAGTGAGGCTGTTAACTGTCACAAATCATCTCCTTGTTTTTCATGCAGCTTAGCATATTTTCCAGGAGGATCCTGCTCCATGATCTTGGCAGGCACTGAGGTAGGTGGGACTGACTGGCATGTCATGGCATAGGTCTTCATTTTTTCCTTTTTAAAAGCAGGGGTTACATTGCCACTTTTTCAGTC